CGGGTTGGTGACCTTATCATGACTGGATTTCATCCTGATCAAGAGCCAAATCTTTTTAGCATTGAAAGGAAGTAAAAACAAGAATTAAGAACTTTCTCTGATTACTGCTGGGATAGCAGTGTTCTCCTCTTTCCTCAACCTGCAAGAAATGCTTCAAAGCAGCCATTTATTCAGGCAGTGTAATTCTTATCTCTTTTTACTGACTGGCTTATATCTTTTATTTTACCTCAACACTTGGGCCTGTGTCCCTCCCACCTGATTTCATTCATCTGAGACACACGTCTTCAGAGGGGGATGAATGATCACTTCCTAGAGAGGAGGAGCGGAGGGAGATGGGCGAGATGGGCATACCCAGTGGTAACGCAGCCTGCGCGAGATTAGAATTATCTCCTTGCCATAGCCCTCTTGCTTGCTTTTTCTCTGTCTTCATTGAGTGTGTAGGGTGACTTTGATTCTAGCTTGCTGTAAGAGATTAGATAAGGAATACAGGTACCTAAAATTAGTAGCTCAGGTTTTTTTAGCTATAAGTCGACCAACTAGAGCAAAGGAGAGAGGAGGAGACAATGGAAAGTTAGCTGCTTAGCTATAGCAGTACTTCAGTGCTTGCCTGACATTCATGTCTTTGAAAATCTGCCCGCAAGGAAAACAGTGCTGCACTGTGCACGACCTGTGCAAAAGTTAGAAAACATTCGGAATGTGTTTGGAAGATTAATAATGTCGTAGTTTTCCTCACCCTGTGTGTTTTTTCATTTCTTCTCCGCAAAAAGTGGTGTACTAGGGGCTCGTCAGGTTGTGCGTTAGATAATTGAGTTGTTACACCAACAGGCTGTGCTGAAAGGTGTTAGATTAGCGATTTCTTTTTCATCCCACTGTGCTTTGATCTCCTGCTATAAAGCAGAAGATCTAACAGTGGAAACTTTTGAAGATGATAGGTGAATTTTGCTAATCCACTTTTCATAATCCTTATGAAAAATGTCTGTCCTTATCAGTCAGAAAAGATTTAATAGCTGTTGTCTCTAGAAAGTCTCATATTATCAGGATTGCAAACTATGGAATTATTGTTAAGAAATCTTTTACTAGCGTGTTTTGAAATGTTGTAAATGCTTTAGAAGAAATGAATGAAGAAGCTTCTTTGTTGTGTTTTCTCACTAAAATGCAAAACTTGTTTGCAAGAAAGCGCTGTGCAATGGTGAATATTTGCTCTCCTTATTGGTGTTAATTGCCCTACTTAAATTTCATATTATTGGAATTCACTGAAGCAGTCAACTTAATCCAAATACACTAATTTCAAACACTATATGGTGCCGAAACAAATGGTAAAAGACTTGGTTCAGAAGATGTAAAGCATTGTAGCTGATGGAGCCATTGTGACAGCAAGCAGTGTGTAGAAAACCGTTTGCAGATTTGGGGGCAATAAAATGTGTCCTCTTCTAGGAAGGAACAAGTGCCTGTGCTTGTCCCTGGGTGAAATTCACACTTACATCATCCAGATGAAGTCAGTAAAATTACTGCAGTTGCCCAGGATTTAGTCCAGCACAATCCTGCCCCATTTATCTTTTGATAGTTGAGCACCCCACGTATCTGGAAAACCCTGCTTATAGAAAATTGACAGCAATGCTTAGGATTATAAAAGGTATTCACCAGGTCTGATTATATTTTATCTCTTTTCTTTACAATAGCTTTGGGCCAGATAATGCTCTATGTCGATGGCATGAATGGAGTAATAAATCATAATGAAACCATCCAATGGCTGTACACCCTCATTGGGTCAAAGGTAAGATACTGTCTAAAAGTCTCATATGTGTTTGGTATTCTTTAAATGCATTTCATTTGTATTACCTATGCATTTAGAGTATAAACAGACTGCGTGTAGGTTCTAATTAAGTATATAACACTCTTCATGGAAACCAGGGCACACTGAGCTGTTATTTCTTTAATTTTTTATTCTTTCTTGTGCTCTTGGCACATACTCTGTTCTTAAAAGTGAAGATACCAAAGATGCCCTTGTTTATTGTCTGTGCTGCCACTGCAGTTGACCATGGAGAAGAATTTTTTATTTTTTTTTTAGTGTTGCAGTTCCCAAGACATTCTTTAGAACCACTTTTTAGAGGGACTTTTTTTCCCTTTTGCATTCTATGAATGCAAAACCTTTTCTACAGTTTCACTATTCTACACTAGTCAACTTTGCTGAGTACTGAGTGAGAACAATTCAGAGTGACTTCCTTCTTAGAACAGACTGTTTCAGTTGGAAGGGACCTACAACGTTCATCGGGTCCAGCTGCCTGGCCACTCCAGGGCTGACCAAAAGTTTAAGCACATTATTAAGAGCATTTTCCAAAAGCCTCTTAAACACTGACAGGCTTGGGGCATCAACCACCTCTCTAGGAAGCCTGTTCCACTGTTTGACCACCCTCTCTGTAAAGAAATGCTTCCTAATGTCAAGTCTTCTTGTGCTTGAAGAGCCCAAGAAGACAAGTCTGGTACCTGCCTACAGGGGATTCTTTGTTGGTCCCTACATACAGGGAGGCAAAAGCTGAAGGTCAGAATATATACCACTTGCGTTGGTCTTCTCCGGTGGAGTGGTGATTTATGTAGTGCACAACCCACTTTTAAAGCCATCTTTGCTGGAAGTTGAAAAGGAAGCAGAACCCAGATTCTGCTGGCGCCGCATCCTAAGGGGCCATAGGGTAGGTAAAGCCACAAATACACCATTCTCCAGTCTGTTGGCTCTCCAACTTTAGGAAGTTTATTAAGGCCTGCAGGGACTGCTGCTGCTTTTGCCATGTAGACCTGCTTGGGATAGATTTGTGTGACACAATAGCCAGAACACAGTATATTAGCTATTATTAACAACTCAGAAGTTGATGTAATTGGTGGAGTTGAATCCATTGTTAGAATTACTAAGAAATTTCCAGGAACTTTTCCTCAAGTGGCTGAGTTGCAGAAAGTTGCTGTTGGATACTGTAGTGACAGATTTTCTGCTGCTCCCCCTTTCCCCTGATAGCCTTTATAACACAAGGAGAAAGAGCTTGGTGTCCCAGGGGCCTTTTTTAACCACCATGTTTTTTTTTTTCAACAATGTAAAAACTTCACTGCTGCAGTGGATTATCGAGTCAAAGAACAGATTCTGCAGCGTTGAAAGAACTGATTTATCTTGGGTTGATGAACTGTATTGGTAGGTACATAAAAGTAAGATAATTATGGTTATCAAATCTTAGGCCTGCAAGGCATAGTTCCTGATTGGGAGAAAGATGAGGAGAAACATTTCCCCCTGTTGTCTGGGGATTATGCTGGGCAGCTTGCTCCCTTGGAACAGGGAACATTGGCCATGGTTGGAAAAGTGGTGCAAGATGAGAGAGAAATGGTTTGCTTGGTATAGATCCTCATTTTCTGTGGAACAGGTAAGAGACAAGCAAAAAAGAAAAAAAACCTGCCACATCTGATTAATTCTCTAGTGCGCCTAATGGGAGTGGGATGGGGAAGAAACACGACTGTATTGCTACCTTGCAGATTAAATTCTGTCTAGATTTTCTTGACCAGGGTACTTCAGGTCTTGGGTCCTTAAGCTCCTTTCTCCCTCCCCCATAGCTAGCCTGAATGATTATCTCCATGTCCTGGCTCTGTGCCTGCAGCTGAGGAATGCAGGCAATGTGCTTTGAATAGTTTGGTTTCAGGTAGCATCAAAGTTGCTTTTTCATTATTCTTTGACTGTCTTGGAAGAGATCTAAGTGCCTGTCTGTGTGCCAGAAGTTAACCAAAGATATGGCAGGCTTACTGTCAGAGTGTGGTGACACAGCTGCTTTATGCACTTAAAGGTGGTTTTGACTTTCTGTGAAAAATGAACCCCTGGAGTCTGCAATGCACCTACAGTCTAATTCAGAGCCCCGCTATGCTGGTGCCTTCTCGGCAGCGAAAAATATGTTAACACTGGTGAACAGAAAAAGAATAGTGAAATTGCCAATTAAGTGTTGGGACAAATCCCTCTAATAGAATGCAGGAGGGATACGATCATTCAGCTGTGACACATGGTTTCTTGCCTTCTCAAAAGCTCTGACCAGGTTTAATATACTCAGCTGTGGAGGTTGTTGAATCTTTTCTACTGTTGGGGGTTTTTTTGGCTTTTTTTGGTCAAATCCTATAACGGTTTTGACCCTTCACTATTACTTGCTCTGCTCTATTTGTGTAGGGCTGCTAGCTCCATCACCCTTGCGCACTTGCAGTGGTGTATTATTGCATGTGCTTGTCCACTGCCACACACACATTCAGCAGAGGACCTGAGGGTCTGGCACTGCAACAGCTATAACACTAGTACCCAGCTCCAAGATCACTTTATGCACCTGGCGATACTTCTGTACAGGAATAGGGGAAGGAGGTGGGAAATAAATTTTAAAAATAGTGAAAGAGGGGACTATAAGCCATTTAATGAAAGACTGTATAGATTGTTACCATTATATTCCTTACTACTGTTGGTTCTGCTGCAGTTTTACCCCTCTGAGCATCAATGAGTGCTTATATAGATGGATTATTAGAAGTTGCTGATAATTTTATCACTGTTGTCAAAATTTGCTCTGGATAAAGTTACTACGGAGGTGATTAAAATTCCAATAGTGTGACTGCACTGATGCTGCTGTCCTTATGCTGGGTAAGAGGCACCAGTGGTGTGTCAGGATGAGGAACTGAAAAGCAGGAAGAAAGTGTCTACATTTAGCCTATATCTAGGGCTAAACTATAACAGTTGCCCTATAAACCAGTGATCACTCCCCAGCCAAGAAGGGGAATTGGGAAAAGGAGAGTAGACCCATGGGTTAAGCGAAACAGATTTAGCAAAACAACACCAATACCAACAAAGGCATACAAAGTTATACTCAGCCAAATGAATATGCAACAATCAATACAGTCACAATCAGCAGGAGAGCAGTCCTCAGGAGCAGGAGGAATCCCACAGGAGCTCCCCTTCCTCAGCCAGCCTTCCCCCTTTATAATGACCATGACATGATGGGATGGGCTACCCCTGTAGCTCACTCAGGTCAGCTGCCCTGGCTGACTCAACACTGCTAACGGCCTTCCTGGCATGGCTGGGCTGGGATTCTATCCCAACCAAACCAGGATAAAAGTTAACCGTAGATGACTCATTTGTTAGCGGGCAGAAAGAGCCTTCTGTTTCAGATTGGTATTATATAGGCACTAGATTGGAATTTGAAGTTAGCAGTACCCTTCTTCTGCCATCTTATTTAAAGAGAAGAGCATTATCAGCACATCCCAGACTCTTAGGACCACTGCTGGTCCTTTGCAAGACACATCCAACCACATGTGACCGCACCAGTGTGTGTCAATGGCCTTTCACAGGCTGGCTGTAGTCTGCTTTCCAGTCATCAATAGCTAATACATCCCTGGCATAAAACGTTTGCGGCATAATCCCAATTTAAGTGTACATTACTACTACTTCATCATTAGTTATATAGGCAGCAATTCATCAGCCTTTCCCTGTTTAACAAAGCATCCAAGTATGCACTTAATTATAGGTGTATGGTTACATGCTCTTGCCTTCCAGAGAACCTCAATACATAACTGAGGTCAGCAGTGTACTGCTGGAGGAGTGCTAAAGAGGGCTACAGGAGGGCCAGGGCTCTGACCATCTTATATAAGCTAGAAGTTATATAGATAGGAAATATCTGTGTCAACCAAGTTTTCTTTTAGCATTCATTGGCAGCATGGAACATTCACGCAGGCTAGTTTGCTTTTTAAATGACAAACTAGGAGTCAATGAATGTTAGTTAACAGTGATTTCAGAATTGCTCCTTAATTTTTTTTTTTTTTTTTGAAGTGCATAAACTAACGTGTCAAGGATGTTGCCTTAACTGACTACAGGCCGTAACACACGTGTTTCCGCCTCGCGTCATCTGGGAAATGATATTTCACCACTTCCTCGGTGCTTCTGCCAGCTGCTGAAGCTGCAGTTAAGTTTCTGCGTTGTCTCGCAAGGTCTATTTAGCCTCATTGTGAAGGGACCTGATGCATTTGTTTGTGCTGGTAGCTGGCACGCCCCAGCCCGGCGGAGCTCTGTGGTGGATCACTGGCAGGTAGAGTCTTGGTTTGACGGTGATGGCAAGGGCTGTTGGAAAATTTCTCCTACCCAAAACAAGGGACATATGTGCACTAAGCCATATTAAGTCCTGTATTTTTTAATACATTAAGTAATGTATTTTTCATCTGTTAGCATATATGTCATAATCTATATATTATCTTTCATATGCGTTGGTAGTCCCTCTGACCTGGTAATAGAAAGTGTGCAATGCTGTGTCAGTGCCTTACCCTCTCCAGGACTAGCTACCGAGTGTTTACAAAAAGTACATTTCTAAACAATACATCTTGGCAACACCCCAATTGTTTATATCGTCCACTAGACAAGCAAATGTTCCTTTGCATCACAAACCCACAGGCTTTTTTTCATGCCACCTTGATCTTTAAAGGGACATCTAAGGCATTAAGTGGTCCAAAACCTGAGTCTGGTTTCACCTTTTCTTTCCCCAAATTTCTGACTGCTACTGATAATGATTATTTTTTCCCATTTGATGATCCAGGCTGTTCTAATTTCCCCCAGGGGAGCTAAAACCCCTTTTTGGCATTGTTTTCAGTGGAAAGTAATCCATTTTCAAAGTGGTGCTGGGTAACTTCAGAAGACAGGGTGGAATGCTGGGCCCAGGCTGATACAATGAGGTTGATTAAAGATTCCTATCTCACATCTTGTTTTAATTTTTTTTTTTCTACTTTACT